TGAGATGAGATGAGATGAGATAAGATGAGATGAGATGAGATGAGATGAGATGAGATGAGATGAGATGAAGGTAGATTAGATTAGATTAGATGACATGAGATGAGATGAATTGAGGTGAGATGAGATGAGATGAGAAAAGATGTGATGAGATAAGTTTAGATTAGCTGAAATGATTTGACATGAAATGGGATTATATCTGATTAGTTTTAATAAAATAGGATAAATTTTTAATTATATTCTGATATAAAATCTACTTTTATTAAATCAAACTTGATCAGATGAACTACGATAATATGAGATGTATCAGCTTTTTACGATTTACCACAATATAATGTCCCCAATTTGTTCCGGATACACGTTTTCATTCAAAGAGTCTGCCCATAAATGTAATTTACATATTTTTGAATTAGATATGTACAAATATTGGTTTGCGAATAATCCCCTTACGGTTATAGACGGTTATGTGTTTACTTTGTTGTGTCTATGTGGGATGGATCAGTCGATAAATTAATTAGAGTTTATCTGAACACAAAACAACCTGCATAGATTTGTAGGTCTAAAAATCAGAATAGGGCAAAGAAATTCCAGATAGGCTGGTCTAGTGCCAAACGCTTAACTGGATATATATACTATACCAGCAATAAGAAGAATATGGAATTTATGGACATCGACAAAACAGCTAACATCCTATAGAGAAGAGAGTTTTGGGAATTAAGTCGAAAATTCCTGTAGCCGTTGGATGGGATTAGAGAAATATAAATCAAGAAGTACCGCTGAGCAAGAATAAGACACCTCAAATCTGGTTTACACACTAAAAACTCACGCGTCTTACGAGCATTGCATGCATACAATACACGTTCAATGGAACTCAATCGCATACAGCAAAATTGCAGGATCAAAGATATAACAAATGTTTAGCTTACTTCCATCTCGAACGAAAGTCTTTGGTGAAGAAACCCAACTTTTCTTCGCAAACAAATGAGCTATATTAGATATATTCACTCTATTTCGTTTAAGGTGATGAAGGATTAGTACTTAAATTCTTCAAAAATTATATGAGTAGATCTAACATTTACAAAACCAGGCTGAAGTTGACTACAATTTCGACCTCATCTTGATATTTTCAACACTCCCAGCTGGATTCAAGCTATGAAAGTGCACCGTATAATCTCGACAAATTAATCACTACGCCACATTACCACAAGTGCACTTGGGTCAGAGGTCAGATGTGAATTTTATGGAAAGCCAGGCATTTTTCTATATCATATTCTTTGGTAGAACTGTCGGTGAAGCAAAGTTATACTTGCTACGACAATCGACTACATTACTTTCTTTCGAAGCCCTATTTACGAACGAAAAATGTGTTTTATCTGAGGATGCAGCACTTTGGTCGAAATTGCATCTGATTTAACCTTTATCTAGAGCCATTTCATATTTTATCCGCAGCCGCTTAACTTTTAATAAATATTTTAGCAAAGCATAGGATATCCGACCAAAACATAACATGTCTCATTAAGTTGATTAAATTGGACTACATGAATAGGTAGTCTTGATGCCGGTAATCTTTCTTATCTTCGTCAAATGATGAATTATTCATAATGAATTATCATTAAGGATGGTGGCCTGCTCAAAAGAGCAGCAGCTCAGCAAGAATTCATCGCGGCCGCAGGTTGTTGCCTCGAGGACTTATTCGCGTAAATCTACAGTTATAGCTTTGGGGCAATTCCAATTCACCTTCCAGTCAGGCTAATTTACGAATCCCTTTCACTCTCCTCTTCCAACGAGATAAAAGGTTCCCCAACATGGAAATCAGAGCTTAGGAGTAGAAAACGAACATGTCAGAAGTTGTGGTAGGGCGAGAGTGAGAAAAGGGAGTAGGGAGTAGATAGAAGATCCAGGACAGAAAGGGAAGTAATAGCCCAACTATTTTGGTAGAAAGCTGATCAAGGGACAGACTTCGTTTATCCCTTTGACGAGTTTTATTTTGATACTGAGAATAGCAAGGCTTAGTGACGATGCCGACGAAACGTCTCAGAATGTACCAAGTCCACGGTCCAACGCAGGTAATTATGATGAAGAAGAGAAGACTGGATTCGCCTAACCTGAATAGGAAGGAAGATGGACTGTCGGTTTAAAATCAGCAATTTTCATCACTCGGTCCTCCGAACCCCAGGGAATAAACTATAAGCTCTAGTTTTTTATTTGACAGACGCACATAAAGAGAGAGAAGATTTTGCATCAAAAATCTCTCAGAATAGTGATCAACTACATGCTTCTCAATTATGATATCTTATTCAGATGTCTAATTATTTTTTTATACAATTGATTGACCTCCTCAAATGTTCAAGCAAGTGAAATTATTGTTGATATGACTAGGTATCATATTTCATTTTTATTGACCTTTAGTATGGTTTTGCAATTTTAGTTATTGTTTTTATAGGTATTCATAAATATATTTATTCACCTGTATACGGTCTGTCCGTTTCTAGTCTTGCAGGTACATGATTAATTTTTATTAGCATTCCGCATGATTAGATATAAGAAATTTATTTACTTTATATCGTTTTAGGTTATTTATATTTTCGAATATGCGAAAACCAGGATGGTGTTGCCTTTAATATAGTCGCACTCTCCTTTCGATGCATAGGAGTGAGCTGAACTTGTTTTTACAATTTTGTCATGTTGTCAAGGCGACTTAGTTGGTCGCACCTTTTTCTAAGTCTTCTGCTATATTAGTCACCATAATTCCTAGCGTCGGACCTTGGACTTGGTATGTTCCAGGACATTTCGTCTGCATCATTGTCGGCATCGCCAGCGAGTTTTATTATTCTAAGCACCAAACTACAACTTGTCAAAGAGACTTCGGACAAGATGCGTCCAACTAAGTCATCATTACAGCACGACCAAGTCGCGAAAACGAGGTTAGCTTACTTCTATACACCGAAAAGACACTGCGACCAAAATAGGGACCACAGCATCTTGATCTTCATATCAACCTTTTAGCAATGAGCTTAGGGCAAAGAAAATATATGCCGATGGATGTTGGAAAAAAACATTTTAATATAATCAACGATTTAACTTACACATAATGGATACCCATTTGGAATATTTGGTGACCTGGACCACATTCTTTACTTCATTGTCTCTCAATCTGTAAAGTACCAAATACGACGAATTACTACTTTCGTTCTTTTGTCATATATCCTCACAAAAAGTCGCGGAATGTATTTTTTACATCGAGTCTCATCATTCCATCAGTACCCTCACGGGACTCGAACCATGGGCGTGCAGGCGGGACACGTTATTCATGCTGATAGTCTACAAATCATTTGCCACTACTACTAACTACTGATTGTAGTCTAACTATACTGCTTTACCTATTGATCACTTGCATTTTAGCCACATCTCCTTGCCTTCCACAAGCTTAGTGTTCTCCGATCGTTGCCAAAGTCGCCGAGGATTCAAGTCAAGACTTGGCCTACCCGTCGATGGGATAGGCCTTTTTTCGTCTGTCTCGTCGAGGAAACGCTACCACGGCCGACTATCTACCTTCTATTTCGAGAGAACCGATCACTTGAATTTATTGCAGTCTCGCATGTAAAGTTGAACTTTTCAACTTCTGAGATGCTTTCACGACAGATAGTCAACATGATTGGCTCACCACTTGGCCGGATAACTTACAGTGAGGAATACGTCTGTGCGGCTTCGATTTACACTCCTAAAGACCTCTTTCAGACCCCGTTGTCAAATCGTCTTACTGACGGTTCTCTTGTTCTGAGTGATTCGATCAAGATTCCCGATTCTGTAGACCTTGAGCCGGAGCCACCGTTGCTAAGTCGAGTCTGGAGCCAGTCTACAGAACAGGATCTCGAGGCAACGCCTCATCTTGGCGATCAAATGGGGTTAAATTGTGTAGTGACCACCCTGTACACCGGTGGCTGGCTGGAAATGGTCATCTATGATGGCGTCAATCGAGTAGTTGTATGCGCTGACCAATTTCACTCTGTCTGGATCCTCGGTCGGCGTCACTTTCAAGAGGTCGGCCGACCACATGCTTGTCGACTTGTCGAGTACTCGACGTCCGGTTGCCGGGCCGACCGGTCAGTCGATAGTTGGCCCGGTCTCACGACGTACTGTATGATCGATTATAATCCGAAGCGTCGTCGACTTGTTCGTCGAATTCAAGTTATGCTGGCCGAGCTGACGATGGACAATCTGAACGGTCTGGCCGTCTGTCGACATTTACCCTCTAACAGTACAGATGCTTTACAAACGCCTCAATTGCCTGAAGGTCTCAGTTTAACCCGATTTTTGATGCTAATCTTTAGAGTTCCTGAACACCTTGAGCCTAGGCTGATGACGACCGATGACCCTGGCTTGATCACATGCACGATTTTACAGTATCCCAACGATAATTTTAATCTTCGTCTCCGTGTCGTCTTTCCAGATACAGGCAAGTCGACCGAGGTCAAAGGTCGCCGGCTTTCGAATGTAAACTTTATAGACAAACTGAAAAGGGACGGCTTTATTGAGCAAAAAGATCTGACCTCACTGAACGATGCCCCATTATGGCTACAGGCTGAGGTAAATTTGCTGAAAAATGTTCTTTTCTATCTGTACTTCTGCGAGGTGATCTCGCCCAATGGAAGTGTTGTCACCCAATCAACCGGGCTCTACTCAGCTGGAGAACAGGGTGAGGGTCGAATTGAGGTAGATGAGCAAGAGACGAATGTTTTCAGTTGCGTCTTCAGCAGTCGGTTGCGGCAATGGATTTCAGCCGTCTACCTCGTCAAGTCTCTCGTTGACGAACACCAACTCAGCTTCTTCCCATACCTCCCCATCTTGAAGTTGGCCATGACGGAAGGGAGACCAATGGTAACCAAGTCGCATGGCTTATGGTATCAACAGGAGCAGGGAAGAGATGTAAAAATCCAGATACCAGCTAATGAACAAGTAAATGAGACTCGGATCCAGTTTCACCTTTTAAACGCCAAAGTGAGTTGAAGAGATGAACAGTTGAAAATGTTTCCCGTGACTTGGAACGACTTTGGTATAAATATGTATGATTTTATTTTGACAGAGGGAAAATGTTGCTGGGGCTGTTATGCTTTTTGACGTTAGTGTAGCAGTTCTTGGTGCACCTAAAAGAGGGTTAAATCAAGGGCATACAACTAAGATTGATACGTCTTTGTCAGAGTATGTTGTTACTCTTTAAAAAGGATTAGGGCGCAGAGGAAGGGTAAAGCCACAATGAAATGAGGAGAAGGCAAGTATGAAGAAGAAGAACCAAATGAAACGGAGGGGATGAATCAAAGCCTGGGAGCAAGTGAATGAGTGAAAATGTGGATGAAGGGCGAATAAAAGAAAGTAATCGAAATAAGAGGAGAGGAAAAAAGAGCCAAGTAAGAATAGGAGGAATAAAAAATTAATTTACTTATTAATTTGTTGTAATTTTCAATTAAGCCTAGAGGATAATTACTATCAAATGATATTTTTTAAGCCTCTATAGCTAACTATCCTAATGGTCTTTATCTTATACGCCGACTAACCATTAATTCTAAAATACCAACCTGTATTTTTTAATTATGATTGAGGTCAAGGCCAATACATGATGGCGTGCTGCATACATTTTTGCCCGGCTTTTCTACTGCTCTTATAGCCAAAACAGCCACAAAAGTTAAGCCATTATACCTTTCTATTTTTATTGTGAACTTAATATTTCTTTACTTTCATGTGAGGCCCGGTCATTGCAGTAAAAACGCAACTTTTAATCTTAAATTCGCGCTGATTGACAAAAGCTAAGTTGTTATTTAGTAGTATTTTTATTCTCTGGATAATTACACACGCAAGAGAATCTAGTAAGCTGGTTTATTAGTAAAATAATAAAGAAGAGGATCATTTGCAAGTTTGGATGTGTTATCAAGTATAACCAATATTCCATTTCAGGGAGCAATTCAAACAATAACACTAAGCCGGATTTTATTGAAGAAGTAAGCCTAAGCAGAATTTCAATCGCAGTACTACTTAGTCTATACAGGACTACGCGATTCATGTTTTACAAAATATTTTAAGAGGAGATGCAAAGAGTTGCGATGAAATCATATTTGGCTCCGAGTTTAACCAATAATTCCACAGCAATAATGAAGAAAGGCCTCGTGTTCGTTTGAAATATGGGTGAGTATTCGGAGATTCTGCTGCAAGAAAAGGATGCACTGAATAATTTTTGGTTTTTGCTTAACCCGAGGGATATTTTACTAAGTTTACAGCCGAAATAGAAACGGAAGGTGGTTGATCCTTTGGGGTAATTTTTGTCTTCAGGACAAGAGTTCATTTTGACATGGATGAATTAATTGTAAACCAGTTTTATACTTAATTACTTATACAAGCAGAGAGACAAAATGCAGATTACTACTTTTAATTTAATTAGTATATGTATTATAAGATTGAGCTATAAAGATCTTTGAGAAAATAAGTTAAAGAGGTTTAATTAAATATCAGATGTCGAGACCAAGATGCTGTGGCCTCGTTTTCACTACGCGGTCATGATGTCCGAGTGATTTAGTTGGAAGAATATTTTCCGAAGTCCTCTGCCATTGGGGTTATGATAATACCCAGTGTGGACCTGGTACATTCTCAGACGTTTCGCCGGCATCTTCAGTGAGTCTTGTCATTCTCAGCAAAAGCTACAACTCGTCAAAGAGACAAGTAAAGTCAATCACTTGACCAAATTTTTGCCGTGTGGTTTTGCTATTATTCCGCCTTGGCTATTACCATTCCTTCGTTAGCACAACTTCTGAATTGTTTATATTCGGGTTCCTTGAAGCTGTATTCTTTTTGGCGAGTTTAGTGGGGCGTTATCAAACCTGATTGTTTACTTAGAAGGCTCCTCAGGAAAAAATACCCGGATGAAACAATACAAACTACATAGAAGCTGTAAATTTCGGTGGCAGGAGGAGGATTATGAAAGAAAATTAAGGATGGAGAAAGCCTTAAAAAGTGGATATGTCCATATTCCTGCAAAATAACTCAAAAATAACCACCAACACTAATGAAATGGAATATTTGCGTGACCACGAATAAAAACCAACACTCTTCACAAGTTTACCTACGCAACATGAGAGGGTAGAAAAAGTGGATTGCTCGGGGACTTGCTCCATAATATGCTGCGTCAGTAGAAAGGAATGAATTGGTGAAATAACTGGCATACGAATCCACGCACATGTAAGGCTTCGCAGAAAAATGAATATTGTAAATTCAAAAATAGCGGAATACATTGCACCGACTAAACACAAGATCAGTTGGAAAGCAACAGAAAACAGAGTCTCATACAGTGAAACCATAAGGGGCCGTTTACATCCTTGTAGGAAGAAAATAGAGTTGGGATTGTACGAGGACAGAGTTAGCGATAATTGTGTCTA